ACTCTGTACTATCTCTCATTTGTTTCCTGACTTGAGCCTGTAGTTGTCCTCTTTTTGGAAGTTCACCCCTAAACAGCGCATTATTGCGCTATTGCCAGATAACTTGCATAATAATTCCTCTGCATGTTTTGCCAATGTAGGCTATGTAGCCTCATCGCCAATTATAATTCTGCATATCGGGGCTACAACCGGTTTCTATCCATTCATCAGTCCAAGTCAAGGCATCATTTGCCACATTCTTTCCAATATCTTCTCCACCATGATTGCCAAATTCTAAGAGAGAAAGGGCAGTGTACCCAGACATGTTGAGTGGTCTCCCAGGTCTCCCCCGCCCGACGACACCTGCCGCAAATCATGGAAACAGCATCCATGTTCCTTGAGAGAAGCCATTCTGCAGACGGTATCGCATAAGAGGTACTATGCGGCCATAACAAACTGGCTACCTTTTGGTCTTGTTGTATCTTCAATTGTTTCCAAATCTGAACCAAGCTCTCCTCTGTCATCGCATGGGTCTATTGTGCTGAATATGTCTGCCACCTCTCTCGCTGGTGCCGCTGACGCTGATTTTCTGTGTGTCTAAGGGCCTGAGGCCTCTGTATTGATACCCCGCACGCTGGATTTGTACATTGCCAGGGGTGTGAAGGTAAGTCTTTGCTGTTTCGTCCTCCAAACCCCTATGCGGGTGACGGGGTTCAACTGCATAGGTGTGTGCATCTATCTGTACCTAAAATACACGACTCTTTCCCTGTCTTATCGAATTGCGAGTAGACTCTGACTTCTATTAGATCCTTTTGATTCCTGGTCTAGTTGAATTCTCCTTCCTTTAATCTACGAATTTCAAAGACTGCTCTTTCAAGGGGGGTTTGAAAAACGGCCATTTTCGCATTCTGATTCCCGTTGGGAGATCTGGGCCAATGGACCGCCATACACTTCTTTCTTCTCCTTGTTTTCTGATCCAAGGTGTTCGAAGTCTATAGGAGGGGGCGTTTGCCATTTGGGCATGCCCACCCAGTGTGTCGGGATAGCTTTAATAAGTTTCTCAAAGTTGAATTTGACATAACGCAATCTATGGAGTTTAGTCGTGATCGCCTCAAGCGGTATCCAATCTCCTCGTACACTTGGTCCCATAGTATGTCTCTGACTTGAATGACACCCTTGTGGATCCAACTCCGAGTCATGCCAAATCCTCCCACTGCTTGGCTTCATCTGCAGGGAAGGGGTTGTGATCTTCTTGTCGAATAAGAGTGTTTTCAAACAGAGGTTGCAATAGAACGCCTGATGTCATACCCGGGTCCTCATGACAAGTAGAGTTAGCTTTATTCCATGCATACAGACCAGATTCCTCAAAACATTTTGCTCTTCGGACGTTTCCTTGTCAAAGTTTTGGATTTGTAGACATCTCCACACATCCTCGTGCCAAGTCCCATTCACCAAATAGAATATTTCTGCCACATTTTTCTCCATGCTTTCTCTTCCTGATCCATCATCCCTTTAACAGGCCACTTCAGGCTAACAGGGCTATGTTCGGTTGCTTAGGGTCCAAAACTCCTAGGCCTTCTTGGTCTCTTTTTGTAGAGATCAGTTCCCATGCCACTTTAGTAATAAATCCTTGTTCTTCGCCCCCTTACTTTAGGGTTCCATATGTATCTAGATGCTGTTCTGCGGATTGTCGTATATGCCACATGATCCCCTAATAAGTGTACGGTACAGGGGGACCAAAGAACTGAGAAGGCTGCTGAGGAAAGCACCAAAGCTCTCCCGAACAGAGATAAGGCGAAGTTTTTTCACCAATTCACAATGCGGGTTATCACTTTGGAGGTCAGCAGTAGGTCTTGTGTGGCTGCCTCACTATGTCCGGTCTTAGGTTTGGCCATACTGTCCGTACATAGTCAGGCAGCAGAGCTTCCTCCACTGGACTTTGACTGCTCCTTCTCAGCTGTTCTCAGCTGTCTGATTTGCTTGAGGACATAGAGCCTTGCTCATTTCCGCCCTCTTGTCTGATGAGGCCTGTTGAGCTTCACTAACCTTACTCATAGAACTCTGTTGCTATCTCATAAGAAATCGGCTACGTCTTGGTCTGAGCACCAAGTTGTTGAACTTACATGGAGAGGGCTGCAACGGACTGGAGGCTGATCGCAGTGATCAGTAAAGGATGAGCGATGTGGGCGCTTCATCGAACTCGAGAGCCGGAATCTTGAGCGGTTTTAGATCGACAGGGGGATAAGACAGTACAAGGGTTTAGGGTTTTAGTGGGTTTGATCCTGCAACCGAGAACTTGAATTGCACAGCTCGACTAACTCCTTATTTTCATCTTCAATCGAACAGAACGCATTGTCATTATCGCTCTATCTAGGTTAAAGTTGCCCCAAAGCCAGGTACTGGCCCCGGCCTGTGTTTGATTGTTCTACGTATCTGGGACGCTGGACTCTGTTTCCAGCAGGTGCAGCTTCCAACCAATAGACAGGAGCCATCTGCGGGATAGTGCTAGGGGGAACCCTCTTACCAACCCCCTAGCACAACCAGGTGATGTTAAAAGAAAAGAAAAGAAAAGAAAAGAAAAGAAAAGAAAAGAAAAGAAAAGAAAAAAAGGGGTAACTACGGCGCAGTCACAAAAGCAGTTTGTTTGTAATTGCATTTCAAACTGAATTTTAGCAGTTTAGTCAGGGCCCGAGTTTCAAATGGAGTTGAAACTCGGGCTGGCTTTATTAGCAGTTCGGTCCGGCAGGTGGACCTTTTTTTTTTTGTTTTCCGGCCCAGGCGTGGCCGAGACACTCGGCCGTGGCCCCGTCACACAACCAGATGTTTTTTTTTTTTTGTTTTTTTTTTTTTTCCCTTGAGCGTGGCCAAGACATCTCGGCCCGAGTTTCATTTGAAACTCTAAAAAAGGTCAGCCCGAGTTTCATTTGAAACTCGGGCCCTGACTAAACTGCTTAAACGCAGTTTGAAATGCAATTACAAACTTCTATTCTGCGCACAGCTTTGCAGACCCAGTCCGACACGAAGCTGAGGGGCGCTTTTTTTATCTTGAACTTCTTCTACCTCTGAGAGCCTTGGGGAACGGACACGTCACAACACAGGACACCAAGCCATGCCCCAGGCCGTGGCATTGGCGAGAAAGCGGCAGAGAAGGGGCAAGGAGGAGAGAAAGAGGAGAGTGGAAGGAGGACGAGAAAAAAATGGACCCCAAAAAGGGAGAGAAAGACAGAAAGAGGGAAGGCGTAGAGCAGGCTAAAGCAACACGAGGGAACAACACAGCAGGAAAGGAAAGCTTTCCCAACAGGGAAAGTAAAAGTGAATGCGAGGAACGGAAGAAAGAAGGGAGAACAGGACAAGGAAACAAAGGAGAAGCGAGCAGTGAAGACAATTCTCATTGACAAGTTGAAGCCGTTTGGCCGAACGGAACAAGGAGAGAGAGACAAAAAACACAACAGATGAGAGCTATAAGATCATTCCTTTGAACTAAAGCCGGCGGCAAGGCAAGAAGGGGCCAAAGTGACCAAGAGCTCTCGCAAACGGACGAAAGGACAACTCAAAGACATCATCATCAGATAAATGGCTAGGAAGTGCCACCTATGAATCCCCAATGGAGGCGGCCACCCACGGCAGAGGCGGCATCCACGGCCGGGGCCGCGACCCACTGGCCATGGCCGCCCAGCCACAGATTTTCAAGGCTGTGTGGCGGCTAGTGGGGAGGGGGGGGGGGCGGGTTTGGGGGTGTTTGTTTAAGGTTGCGAAACCCCAACCCTGTCCCCTCGCAGAAAAAAAGGAAAAAAAAAAAAAAACCAATTTCGGGAGGGGGTGGGTTGGGAGTGAAAATGAATCTTCAACAGAGTAAATAAAAAATGATTGATTGGGATTTGGTTTGTTGATTGATAAGTTCATTGATTGATTGGTTTGTTGATTTGGGATTTGATTGATTGAATTTTGATTGATTGATTGATTGATTGATTGATTGGTGGGGCAGGGGTCGTCCTCCCCCCCAACAGTGCCCACACACACACACATGCGCGCTGGGCCGCAGCAGAAAAATGAGTGTGGCCGTGTATATTTCCACGTTCTAGCCATAGATTCATTCAATTTTGCTCATCCTATCGATGGAAGTACCATGAGGCCAGCCACGATGTTGGGGACTTACCTGCTCTCTCTCTCTCTCTCTCTCTCTCTCACAC